ATAACGTGACAATTAGCATAATCTGATCTTATCATACAAACGGACATAATTAATATTAAAGACCTTGACTTTAAGTGCATAAATGATTCTACATGATTGCAGCAGACCAAAAATAAAAGAAATAGATTTATCAATAGATGCCAAATTTTCAATGCAAGACAATGAGAGGAAGGTAATAGTTGTAAAAGAAAAATAATATCCTTACAAAAATAAATAATTAATATAAAATACTTGATGAACTCATGAGAAAAAAACTACTGACAAAGAATATGATGTTCGCTTATTATCATAATTATATCTCAAAACAAGATGTTGTTTGCAGTAGGTGTCGACATGGAAACATTCATTATTACATAATGACTCGTATTTTCTTTTTAATGAATATATATATCTTTGACTAATTGAATGCAGTTAAATAATTGATAGATTAAATTTCAATAGCAATATTTGAATATTTTATGTCAATAAGCATCTAAGTTTAACTTGAAAGTGAAGTAGAAATATGAACTTTCTTTTTGATAACAGATCAAATTTCAAACAAAAATATTTTTTTTTGTTCTGTTCTGTTCTATCTACAGATATCATTAATTTTTCAAAGTAGAAAAATATCACTTTTTGATTTAATAATTAGAAGTTTTTTTGTACAAATTGACATTCTATATATTAAATGTTAGCTTTCAATTCTCTCTTTTCTTTTTGTATTCAAGTACCTTTGTTTGACTGACTCTACTTAAATGAAAGAATAGATGTAAGAAATGAAAGTATAAATGAATTTTATAATTATCAAAAAAAAACAATGAAGATTTATATTTTTTTGTGTATGTAATTATATATCATTTTTTTGAGCTTATATCAAAATAAAAAAAGTATTAAAAAAATGACTTTGTCATGGATGTACTTATCGTTCAAAAATTTTTAATTAAGTATCTATTCATGAATTAGGTCATTTTACTATAATAATTCTATAAAATGTACTTTAAGAACGAAGAGTAGAAATAATGAAACTATTAATTATTCAGTAAAAGCGCAATGCAAATAAAAATAAATCCGGATACTTTTTTGCATTTATATTTGTTGATGATTGACAAACAAAATATATAGTATGACTAATGAATGAATGCAAAAGAACGTTAATATGGACTTGACCTCGAAGGCCTTGAACCGTGACAAATTGCTTGCAAAAAACAAGATAATCATTCATTACAAAAAGGATTTATTTTATCAAATACAATGTATTTATTATTTTGTAAAATCTATGACATTTTTCATGAATTCGAATTGGACATAGTACGTATATGATAGAGATTAAAGTAAAATGAGATTATATTAAAGCAGAGACAAATGTGGAATACTGTTTGTTGATATATCGAAGAATAGTGTGACTTCACTATTCATTTTGATTAGTTGTTGTTTAATAAAAACGTTAAAACTTAGTCGAATATCAAGTATAAATACTAGATATTTAAATTGTTTGATTTGTGCAATTGATATAGAATTGAAAAATACATGATAATTAATGCATACTAAATGTTCTAAACACATGATATCATTATTCAAGATTGTATTTGCTTTTATATTATAGTTCAATTGATATACGACACATTACATGGATAGAGAGATAGTTATTGCATGTGAAGGATAATCATGATCGAAAAAGATAATGCGTATCATTGAAACAATTCTGAGTTATCAAAAAAAAAAACGACAATCTCCCATGTAATAACTACATACAGGTGATTTGTTTGAAAATGCTGTATCGTGTCAAAACGAGTGAATATTTTTGAAGAAATCTGTTAAAACTGACAGAATTGAGACATTTTCAATGCACCGTAGAAATACTGGTTTTTTTCTCGGTGAATTAGAATTCTCTTCTAATAAATAATCCGAATTTGGGTAGAAAATACTCTCTGCAATCGTTTATAGATGGAACCGAAAGTCGTAAACGCTACCACTACTTCTTATGACTAACGCTATAGTGTGAACAAACATGTGGCATGAGTCGATAAACATCTATCGATAAGGTATTAGATTCCCATATTGTTTTTTACATATCAAAATATTTCTTTGTGAATGCTAGAGGCAATTATTTTATAAGAGCTTACTTTGAATCGCTTATTTTCATTAAAAAAAATCAATAGTTTTACAACTTTTCTCTAAGATAACGATCTCGGTTTATTGTGGCGAACCTAAAACTCTTTTGTACTAATTAGAAGTCAACCAGATCTCAGTTCAAAATTCAGATCAAATAAATGAAAAAACTCTTCACACAATTCCTGAAACAAAGTTGTCTGAAAAAATTTTTTTTGCTTTAGAAACGACATTTCAGTAACAGAAAAAAGGTTTTTTTTCATATTCTGAAGTGCTATTCTCAAAAATTGGTCGGACAGATTAAAGAACGATTCCAACAGTTCCTCGGATTCGAACTAAACCTGAACTTGTCAACTTCTAATACTAATCTGAAATTTTCAAAACCATTGGATTAAATGATTGTACTAGTGTTTCTTATGTCTGTGAATATTTCTAATTGATTCTATACCAATATTCAATAAACTTGATAGATATAATTAAATTTTCATAGTCATTAAACAATATTTTATTTATCTAATTGGAAGTAAAATAATAATCATGATTTGGTTTTATTGATTTAAACAAAAAATATACAATTCAAAAATGTCGTACTTAAAAAGAAAATTTCTTTAAAAATAGTTATAAGGCAGAAAAACTACGAAAGAAAAAAGAACCATCAATTATTAGATAATTATTGATTGTCTATAAAATTACATAGAAAACTTATGATGATATGTGACCTTTTAAATACAATTGTGTTCGTTGTTCAGGCCGAAGATTTTGTGGTTTTAAACGTTCACTACAAACAAACAAAAAATCACATATCATAATTTTATATATGATAACTTACTTCAATAATAATTCACCATTGAGTGTTGCAAAACGTGATGTAGTTGAAGAAAAAGCAATACTTCGTCGTTTTTGTCGTTTACGTTTATCAGCTATTGTTTCATCTCGAACTGGTGTTACAAGATTATATCGACCAACACCAACGGACTAAATGATAAATATTTAATAAATAGAAAAAGAGTTTATATATTAATTAACATACATGCTGAGCACTTGCACTAGTAAATGAACGATTATCATTTCTTGATGCTGTTGAATTAAATGGAACTTTTTTCTGATGATAATCATATTTTTCCCATGGTCGAGTTATGGCATATGTACCTGGTCCAGGAAAATCAGCATTTTTTGGTTCAAGACCTTTTTTTTTCAATAAAAACAAAAACCAAAAGAATAATTTAGTTATTTCATTTTTCCGATTTATCAACCTGGATGTTCAATAGCTAATCGATCAGTTGGTTTTTTTTGAAATCTATTCAATTTACTAAACATTCCATGTTTATTTTTAGCTAATTCATATGTTAATGATGTTGATTCTGGATAATCTTTTGATGGAAAATCAGGTGATAAATCCCATGTATCAAGAACAGAATAATGTCCTGTTGATATTGGTGCTGAACGACTTAATGTAAATAATTGATATGGACCTTTTTCACTAACACGTTTATTAATCAATTCATCTATTGAATTTTTTATATTATATGTTCCTGGACCAATTTTTGAACCCTAAAAATTATCGATTAAAAAGAAAATGTAAAATTTTTTTTTAATGTATTACTTGAAGTGGTAATGTTCTTGGACCTTGATTCCAATCAAATGATGGAACATTACTTCCTTTTTGCCAACGATTTTCGACAAGTTTTTCATCAGGAATACCATAGGCACCTGGTGGAGGTGCTCTATCCTATTTAACAAAATGTATTGCAATAGAAATGAAAGACAAAAAAAGAAAAAACTTTTTTATTCATACTAATATTTCTTTTGGAAACCGAGGTGTAAGTTGATCAAGCATACCTCGTACACAATGTGGTCGTCGATCGGCTTCTGTTAAAAAATCATTAATAGGATAAGTACCAGGACCAATACGTTGTTCATCTTCTTTTCGTTTTTCATAGGTTTCTTTAAAAGATGGATGAGGAAGTTTGGCTAGCTTCTCTGTATATAATGATTGTTCCCAATTTGGACCTTCGGTATGTTTTTGAATATTTTTATCACTAAAATCACCATACTGTATTAGATCATAGGAACCTGGTGCAACATCAGGTGAACTTTGAAATTGAGTACCCGTTAATAATTCGGGATGTAAACCAACTGTTTGAAATCTAGAAGTTATAAATGAAAAGAAAGTTGATTAAAGAATATACGTATATATATATATATATATTTTACCTGACTGTTCTAGAAGAGAAACCAAATGGTGTTGTAGCCGTTTCAACATCAACAGTAGCCATGAACAATATGATGGACAACTAAAAATAATGATTGAAAAAAAACCTTTTAACTTTTGTTTCTTTCAAGTATTCATTGATTTTTTTTTTTCGAAAAAAAAATCGGCTTTTTTTTATTACACTTAATACAAGTGTAGAATTAACATTCTCTTTCTTTCATTGTAGACATAATCATAAAACAAATAGTTACAAAGTTGAAAAAGAACACAATTCTCTATACATTGTCAATTTTACCATTATAATGTTGGTTACAATAACATTTGCCTCCTATTTTTTATTGTTCTCTACCATCATTGTTTGTTCTGTCTGCATAGCTGCTCTGGTATTCCATATTTTTTCTTTGTCTTATTCATTATCCATTGAACCATAAAATATTTCTCAAGTATCAGGTTTTTCTTTGCTTCAATAACACGTTCTCAAAAATAAGCATTCTACAAATGGCATCAACAAATAGTAAAGGTAGTATTAGTAATAAATTAAGTATTGAAGATCTTGATTTGAGAAAGCCAACGTGTTTTAATTCGTGTTGATTTTAATGTTTCATTGCATAATGGTCAAGTAAAAAATAAACAACGCATTTAAGGTGTATAACCAACAATAAAATATGCACTTGACTAAGGTGTAAAATTTGTTATTCTTATGTCACATTTGTATCGACGTGATGATAAACATGTTAAAAAAGAAAGTTTAAAACTAATTAGTAAAGATGTAACATTATTAAATGACTGTGTTGGTGATGACGTTGAACGTGTAGCTAATGAAGTTATTTTACTTAAAAATCTTCGATTTTATCTTTAAGAAAAAGATTCTATTAAAGGTAAACAAAGAAGTAAAATAGAAACTGACACAGATGCTGTCGATAAATTTCAAGCTAGTCTATGTAAATTATGTGATGTTTATAAGTTTTGATTTTATCTTTTATTTATATGAATATATAATATGTTTATATAAGATATTAATGATACATTTGAGGCAGCTCATTATGCACATAGTTCAATTATTGGAGTTAAACTTGATCAACATACAGCTGGTTATTTAATGAAAAAAAGAACTTGATTATTTTAGTCGAGTACTTGAAAATCTTAAATAATTATTTCTTGCTATTCTTAGTTTGTTTGTTCTTTTGTTTTCTAAAATTTTTCCAAAAATAAAAATTTCCTCTAGTTTCCTTAAGATGATGCACAAGTTTCTGACAAAATTCAATTAATTGAAAATTTATTAGATAAAGTCAATGGATTAATTATTGGTGAGAGTTAAATAAATAAACTTTTTTATATTTAAAAATATAGAAGGTATGAAATCTATTTAAAAGATTCTTGATAAAGCTAAAATCGATGATGATTATATTGATCTTGATATTGGTAAAGAATCAATCAAAAAAATTTAGTGAAGCTATTAAACAAGTTAAAACTTATATAGAATGATTTAATGAGTTTTCGAACAAGATCAATGTGCTAATGGTACAAAAGAATTACTTAAAACTGTTGCTGAACATACTAAATAGAATACTATAACAATTCTTGGTGGAAGCGAAACAGCAACAACTTGTGTTAAATTTGGTTTTACTGATCAAATGAGTTATATATCAATTAGAGATTAGGTAATAAGAAAACAATTTTGTGTAACTGATCTTATTGATAAATAAACTAATTATTATTGTTGTCCATAATAAACTGCGATCATCTAGTCTTAGATCTTCGACTTTGTAGTTTTATTTTTTTTTCTTCGTTCTAATTGATATGTTAAAAATAAAAAAAAAAAGGAACATTTAAGATTCATCGGATTCTTCGTTCCATGGTCGTTGAATTCTTTTTTGTTCCCATGCATCTAAATTGTGATTTTTAACTATTTGTTCATATTCTTCTTCTAATGTTGTTGGTTCAACAAAATCGAGACCTTTAGCTTTAATTTCATCACGTGAATAAGTTTTAACATGTTGTCGTCGACGATCATAACGTACCCATGTTGCACTACGTAATGTTATATAAATAACACCAATTAATGTTATAAATGGAAAGAATTTGTTTCGAAAATTTTTATTTATCATTGATTTATTTGTTTAATATTAGAACAAATAAATTCTTCAATAGATTCAAGATCTTTTTTTGCAAATGAATGTAAAGCAAAACCAAAAAGAAGTTGTTTTTTTAATTGTAATCGTTCGTAAAGATGACGAGCAAGAATATGATATTCAGCTTGATCTTTACCAAGAAGAGATTTTATTGAATAGACTGGAGATGAATCTTCGTTTAAATTAACGTCACGACGAACAAGAACCTAAAGAATTAGTCTGAAAATGAATACAAACATCTTCGGTTTTTTGCTTTTTTAACTTACTAAACTTCCAATTTTACCAAATTGAGTTACTGATATAAAAAGTTTGTTAGAGAAATTACTTATAACAAGATCGGTAACGTAATTATTTAGTGTTGTTTGTGCCTGAAAATATATAAAACGTAAAAAGATAATATGAATTTATTATTCTTACGGTTATTGTTTGTGGAAATCTAGAATCCATAGTACATAATGAAAACGATAAAATTTTTTTTTATTGATAAAAGCATTTAACATTTAAATAGTAGTTGCCAATCTAAAAAGAGGAGATTTATAGATGACGCTACATATAATATCAAGATTTTAGTCGATATAATTTATTTTATTATTAGATTAACTGGATTTCATTAATCACTTTACAAAGCAATTCGCTATGATTTTATTATTTGTTAACGTTTTTATTTTTACATTAGCAAAGAATTTTCAATTACAATAACATATATATATATATATATATATATATATATTCCTATTGTTTCGAGTTCGTTAGTATTTCCGAATATATCGCATAACATAGATTCTTTTTTTTTTCTGTAAGACATTTTCTCGATGGAGAAGAAACATATTAGGATCACTGATATCAATGACAATAGAGAAAAATGATATAGTAGTAGCATCAGATCGACGATATCAATCTGCCTGGAAAAACACGAAGGTGTAATCTCAATCAGTCGCTTCGTTATATGAACAAGCACTAGAACAAAAAATATGATAACTACACTATGATCTAGTTCATAGACGGCGAGTTATGAGAATTGAGTAAGCTCAAGTATTTGTTTCTTGTTTCATCAGATTGATAGATTTATGTAGTGCATCGAAATTCTTATATAAATGTCGAAATTTTTCACTGCTTTCAGCCGCAATTAGTACTATTGTCGTAGTGAAGCAGAATTAGAAAACATCCTTGAGAAGACATTGAATTTTGTATGACTAAATGTCAAGCCCTACACTGCCAATGACTTGAAGTACAACTTCTTTGTTATAAGTGAAGAAGAGCTTTACGGGAAACTTGAGTTAGATAAACTAAAAACTGTTGAAATTTTTCTTTGTCTTCAGTGACTAAACTTACATATCTAAAGAAAGATTTTCAACAAAGTGAGCAAACTCACAATGTAATTCTTTTATTTTTGTGAACACTATGACTTCATCATTATTCTTTTTTTTTTCCATTGAAATAGATCAAAAACTATTCTTTCAAGAGTCTAAATTTAATATTGACATGTTTCTTTAAGTGTACCCTATTCTTAACTTCCTTATGAAGATCTTATAAACATTGGTGAGTCTATTCCACATTTAAAACGCTCGACAGTCTATAGTCGAGTTAATTCAGGTCATGTACAATTATGAACTATTAAATCATAAATGAATTCAATGTTCGCCTGAAATAATGCAATGATATCATAAAGGTTTCTTGCTGATGGCTATCTTCAATATGTTCAATAAGTCATTTTTAATAACATGTTGCATTACAACTTATTCTTCCTGATATTACAAATCTTTGTTTATCATTTAAAATAAAACGTACGTGAATTTTAATGTAACATTATAACACATGAACATGGTGAGTGTCATAAGACAATAATGGGCAAACAAAAAAAGAAGAACATCCAATATGTTTCTTATCTTATCAAGAGAGTATCTTGAAAAAAAGTCTTTTTTTTTGTGATTGTAAAATGATCTCATTTATAACTACGTTTGATAGAGAGAATAGACTATCACACGATGATATCATCATCAAACTTGACATTAAAAATATATATGACAAATATGTAAATAATCTGTTATTATCATTTGTGTAAAGTATAACAAATGAGATAACAGATATCATTAACAATACTAAGAATATAATAATATAGTATAAAATGAATACGGTATCATCGTCTTATTATATTGACTTTACCATGTATGATCTCTTAACTGTTCAAAGTTTTCATTTCGAAAGACTCATCATTTTTTTCTACTCCTATAATCTTACTCAATAAATAGCTGATTAATAGTTCGAACTATTTGTCAACTTATATGAATTCAAATAATGATCATTAGAAGAAATTATAGTTCAACCTTTTTTCTCACTATAATAAATTTCGTTCACTTCCTTTGGATCTATTACGAAGTTTTTTCTCTAAACGATATTTCTAATCGTGCGTGCATGATCAGAGAGACCGCCAGACCCCGTTTGGATAGTACAGTGAACGATGCTGACAATGGTCGAACAACAATACATGTATGTATTCCCTACATACTAGAAGACGACCTGTACGTACCAACAGGACATCGAATCTCTCTGTCAGGACTACAAAATCACCCGACGGGCTTGTATAGAACAGAAGGGATGAAAAGAGAAGAATATAATGTAATATACAAGCAGGAAAGCAAGGAATCACAACGTAGAAGCGATGCGACACAACGATATCGCCATACGACAAATAATGATTAATTAGACAATATTCAATACAATCTTATCATTATATTTTTTAATATATCTAAATTGTTATAAAACAAAAACTGAACAATGTATTATAGAACTATCATAATCAGTTTATCATTAATTCTTGCTGATGTTTACAATACATCATTTTTTTTTCAAATAAAAATATGAAAAATTAATCCTCTTAATGTTGAACTATATCTTTGATTCCATATATCTTTAGTAATTCTTTTCTTACGTCTATTTTTGCTTCAAAATGAAAACGTTTCAAAACCATCTGAAGAAAATATACGTATGAAATCAGTTGTTTTATTTCAAGAAACAAAAAAAAAGAAGAAAAATGTATTGCAAATAAAAAGAAAAAACAGTCAGAAATAATAAAATATATTAGTGTTTCTTGGTTAGTTTATCAAAGAGAGTATTTCGCATGGCATATTCTTGTTCTGTAAGACATTCACGGCGTGGAATGAACACATTTGGATCACTAATACCTACAGTAAGATCATAAAATGATAATATTTCGTTGCCATATTTTTCACTGTAAGTTGTTCGAGAAACTGGAAGACATCCTTGATGTGTCCATGTACCTACATATCGAAGAGTTTCATTTGTTGGTAATGTAAGGTTGCCACCCCTATAGTTTAAACGAAAAACTCACATAACAAACAAATAGAAAGTTTATACTAACCAAATTGTAATAAGTAAACCAGTATCTGGACGAGCAGATGAACCAATGTAAGCTTCACCATAAGAACGAGCATCTGGAAGAATACCAAAATCACGCCATGGTTGAATTATTTCTCGACGTGTACAATTATGAGATTTTAAATCATAAACAAATTCAATATTAGCATCATATAAAGCAAGTACATCAACAGCTATTTCTTCACTGCCTACGTCAATAGTTTCAACAATTCGTATACGATGATAAGTAGAATCATAGCTTGTTCTTCCTCGTAATGTAGCTTTTTGTTTTTCATTACTATCAAATATACGTCCTTCCCATTGTGATGGAGATGTACATGGACGTGGTTGTTGTGCAACTGCAATACCAACCAAACAGAGAAGAAGAATTGTAAACATTGTTTTATATTCTTGTAATTGAAACACAGGAGTTATAAAGATTTTGAATAAGAACAATGAAAGAACATATCTATATATATATATATATATATATATAATACTGATAGACAAGATTACTATCAATTTCTGATATGCTAGCCTCCAGATAACAAAAATAAATAAAAATGAGCAAGAAACGCAATATTCGGTTATTGATAAACTATGTCATATA